TTAACAGAAGTAGGACCAAAAGTTGACAATTGTGGTCCCCCCATCAAAAGGCAGCTGAAAGAACACGGTCGCTAACAGCAGCAGAGTTTAGCAGACTCATGAGGTAAGCCCTCCCAACCTCCCCACTAGACACTTTGGATTTCCCTGCAAATTCAAGTGTTGGGCTCATATTCAGGAGAGAGTGAAGCATGTGGGGGAACGGTGGCGCCAGTTCCCGCCAAAACAGGAAGGAGGGATAACTCTTGGTGAGTAGTGATTTTACGTACGCTTTATTGAAGGGAGCTTCAATAAGGAGATACAAGTGTTCCACTATGTTCGCAAGAAGAAGAAGACAAGCAATTAAGCATGAGTCAGGATAAGTATAAAATATCAATTTTATTCAGAAAATTACATATTCCTTGCATAGACATAAAACAAAGAGTCACGTGATAGGGCGTCATCAAATTTCCCGAATAGAACGTTCGTAATCTCAACTGTTCAATGTAGTGGCTGGTCATATGTTATCTGCGACCAATCGTATCATGAGATACCTGTCACAGAGGAAAGGACAGGTGACGGGGCGTGGGCGAAATTTCTGAAGAGCACGTTTGGTCACTCAGCAGCTTGGATAGAGATTCGTTATTGGCTATATCTTTGACCAGTAGATATGCTGGGTTTCGGCTTTATCAACTCAAGCTATCATGTAACAGTTTGTGTATTGTAAACATACACACTGGTAACGATGTATGAAATACATAGAGATTACTAAACGAGTGTCTGTCAGATACCATTTATCTTACAACGAGTTGTTTCAAAACGTATTTAACGAGCGAAAGCGAGTTAAATACGCTTTCAAACAACGAAGTTGTAAGATAAATGGTATCTGACAGACACGCAGTACAGTAATCTGTTTCTTACACACCATAAATCGTGATCATTTTATGGTCGAATAGATTCAAATTTCATGTTTTCTAATCGTAGCTGTGCAATAATACACACAACACAACGTTTATGAATGAGTGACGCCACTTGGCTTCCTAATCACTACTCATCCCCATGGTGACCCTCCACAAAAAGTTTCTGCCACCTCTTCGCATCATCAAGGCAATGGTGATAATGATAACTAGATAAGATCACTGAAAATTAATTAAACCCTCTAAAACGATGATGTTACCATGCAAATGTGGATGATTTTAATTCTTGCAAAAGCGTAAATATTTTAGCGTGTGGACGCCATCAAGTATCGCTTGGTGGTTGTCGCCATCATCGGAAGATTGTTTTGGATATCTCTGCACATTGGGGATCTGTACTTGTGTACCAGTTTACGCCAATGTTCTACCATCGAACCGGGCCAAAGGTTTTGAGTGTGTGTAATTAGGTGCACCCAGTGTGCTTGAATGTGACATTGCTGAGGTTACGCTCACTGTCAATGGGGACTACTCTTCTTCGCCACATCCTTCTCGCTTTTCCGAGCCAGAAACTGCCACTTGGAATGTAATGGAGTTTACGGAGTTTTCAGTATGAAATGTGAGTTGATTACATCCTGTAAGTTATCAAGACATAAACTTTTCATTATCATGCGCCAGAGGAATATCTTGAGCAATGACTTATGTGTAGATCAACCGCTCCTGTACATGTTCGATTGAACAGAATGGACGTGTGCCGCCATTTGCACTCATAAAGCCTTGCAAAACGCACCATGTTTAACATTGTTTCAACGAGTGTGTTTTGGTTCAGATTGTCATGACTGAATTTGATAACATTAGAATCACATAGTATCTCGGAGCTGGAAGTGAGTCTCCATCATATGTATCCGTGAAAAATGTCATCTTCATCAATGCATCAAAGAAACAACAAGGCAAATTGATCTCTCGACAGGCACTGACGTTATCGTGGTCAGGTATTTTGCAAGACGACACATGACACTTGTCGATCTCTCCAGTAAAAGTACCAGTGTTGTACATTTTGAATATTGAAGGGAATCAAGGGCTTTATGTCTAACGGTGATTTTCACATAATTGTTTACACAGGTATCACAGGTTGTTGGAGCCATTTTGAATTCATGACTAGAAATAAGAGTTTTAATAAAAGGAATTCGAAAATAAATAGATTTGTGTTATATTTATTCTACTTGTGACTCATTGTAAAATACCTGTTTATATTGCAATCGCGAAAATAACAGGTAGGTGTAAAGGGGTATTTTTTGCACGAGTAACAGGTTTCTGTTCGATTGAAGCACGAGTAACTTATCAATGAATTTTAATCAGGAAAGTAGTCCGTCATACCCTGACCTTAGGTCATCACCATGGAGTAGCCAATCACGGGATTAGAAATCGATCTCACACATATGTGTGATACCAGTTTTCTCACATGGGTTTCTCACCCACGGGTGTGTAAGAAACACATAAGACAAATAGGAGTAGATAGTCACTTTGGCGAGTTTATTTGTCCTCATTTTAGTGTTTTTCGATAAGTAAAACAAAGCGATTGAAATCCAACCACTGAGTATAGGTAGTATTTATTTTCATATACATTTTATGCACACAACTAGTACATAAAACATAATGGTTTGCTGTACATGTAAATATAATCTTCACCTTGATACGAATGACTATCCAAACTAGAGTACACGCATTACAGAATTCACGAGGTGACACTATACTGAATTATTATAGTGTATAAACTTGCAGTTGACACCCCCACCCCAAATATTTATGAAGGTGGGGGTGCCTATATCTTTACTGAATGCAAACAAGGTTCATAAGATTACAGATGTGCATGCATGTATAAACATCACAGAGAGGGGCGTGACTCCATAAAGCAAGATGTCCAATGATATAACAACGCATCTGTTTATTTTACACTTGTCATGGGACAAACCTTTCAACAAGGACGTAACTACATATGCATTCTACTGGAGGCTGTTATTTCAAGGTCGAAAGAGGCTTTCAATTATCTCATTACTGTAATCTGCTTGAATGATTATACGCATGTGTATCGATACCGTAACTGATATACTATCCAGCTTTTATTGACGATGGATCAATAGAGACTGAATTGATTGATACACGTGATAATTGCACCGGATTTGATAATTACACAGATCAAATACAAACGTTTTACAGAATGCTCATGTAAATTGCATAGAAAACTGACAATTCAAATCAACATGAAACTTTCAACAGCTTGAACAAAAATGCTTGAAATACCTTTGTATGGCTTACATGTAATAACTTATGATATTACTTCTGTCCATGTGTGACAATGTTTTGAATTACCATTTTACTGTCTTTTGTAACAAACGTAGTAAAAGATTTCATTGTTGTAATAACACTGACATGTATATATGTATTCGATGCAAAAGCGCGACTTATCACTTTATATTCGCTTAGGTAACATTACGAACTTTAGATTATGGAAAACAACTAGTTACAATTCAGTAAACTTCAAATTAGTAAGTTCAATTATGTTTAATCTATTCGAGCTTGGATGTATAATTACTTGTGTTTATACATTATGTTTCAGTATATGAAACATGACAACGTAATGATGCCTAAAAGTAAATTCAAACTATTCTATTGTGTTTGAATTCTTTGTATGTCCTTGAAATTTCGTGATATTGTTTCCTATTTATTAGGTAGTTGAAGGAAATATAATTTTTAGTAACCTCTAAACCATTACATCTAATTCAATCAAGGTGCATACGAAGTATTTTAGTATCCATTCCAAAGGAAGAGTACCAGGCACTTACCTCTGTAAAAACATCATGATCCCCTTTCTCGACGACATGCGTTCATTTGTTAAACGCTGTACAAGCCTATGATAATGATTAACAATTGTTATCAAAACACTTTAAATACTTCTTCTGATTGATACTAAAGGTGGGATCTCTCGTAAGAAAAGCTAACATTTGCTCAGTACTGCTAAATTGGTTGAAATAATAGGTACAGTGCGATTTTTAAAAGTACAACACATGTGCGTCTCTTGCTGAATAAGAAGTGCTTTCTGTTGACGACTGTATGTGGCTCTCACTGTGAGAAACTGCTAATTACCTGCCCCATAAACACGTCACTCGCTGTGAGGAGCTGATTAATTTGCCCCATATATGCGTCTCTCGGCCTTAATGAGTTAACCAGTTTACAGGCTTTTTCACATGATGACATTGTTCTATCATACGACTTATTACATGAAAAGACAACTGAACTCATTGACAGATTGTATGAGAGGGATGGCCACAGAACCAAGATACAAACTAACTGGTGTGAGAGATCTGTCTGTATTGAATACAAGCAAGGCACTTTTACTGATGTTGTACTTCAACTTCCACTTCAAACCATAATCATACACAACTTCTAGAAGAGACTGTGAATTACGTGGATTGAGGGAAGTTAAAGTAGTATCATCAGCAAAATGAATACCTGGACAGTGTCCCCATGGAAGCTGGATACCTAGACCTGAGTTATCTAAACTCTGTATTAGATCGTTGATGTATAGGCTGAATAGCCAAGTGGAAATCACTCGCCCCTACCCTACACCTTGACTAATTCTAAAGCCATCAGACAGGAAACCAGCATAGGAAACACATGATTGCATGGACAAGTACGACATTCGAAGCAGTATCCAGATTTTACCTCTGATCCCGAGATTATACAGTTTGAGAAACAGTCCATCCAACCAAACTCGGTGACTCTCATGTAAACCGTAGCAACATTGAAAGTCGTGATATGGGTATGCGGCTCTCTCATTAACTGTGGCAGGTCAGTGAAAGTCCTGATAGGGGTATGTGACTCTCTCGTTAACTGTAGCAGCTCAATGAAATTCCTGACAGAGATATGTGACCCTCTCATTGGCTGTAGTATCATATTATAAGTCCTGAAACATTAACTCTCTCCCATTAAATGTTGCAACATATTTAAAATCCTCTCAGTGTTATGTGACTCCCCCATTAAGTTCAATATTGTGGAAATCCTAAGAAGGGTATGGAACACATTTTAACAGAATGTCATGATATTTATTTTTAGGAATAGAGTTAGTTTCTGAGACAACAGAGGCGGAACTACTGGATGCAGAGGGAACAGTGCCAGAACTGACCAAGGGTGTTACAGTTGCCTATACGAAACCTGCACAAAACGAGGTAAGCTGTATCGGTAAGAAACGTGGTGGAATAGTCACTTTAGCTCACGTGAAAGTCAAGTGAGGCTATGTTTCAACTCAGTTTTGGTAGATTTGTCTGATGTTACTTTTGCATTTATTAAATGTCCTCAAAGACAAAATGAGGCCTATCAAAATGAAACCTACAATGGCTGATCACACACAATCCAAGGTCTGATCCAAGGTTATTTAATGGGTGCTAGCTTTGTCACCTATTTTGAAAATGTTTGACCAGCTATGGCCTTAAACATGTACTTGTTGGACTAGTTCTTACTGGGTCAGACTTGTGTATCACATCCAATAAAATTGTCTCTCAAAACTGTTCTGAAAATTCAAACAAACATGGTTACCACAAACAACCTTTTTTGAAATGTAAGTTTTGCCTAACCTGATGCTGCACGGTGCTTTAGCCTCTCTACCCTAACCTAAACAGTACTGGAACAGAGAGACCGGAGAAAAACAGATTGAAATCCATGCCCTGGTACCCCAGTGTTATCTACCTTTACCCATGCAACCTCTCACAATGTATATTCTTCTCTGACAGTCAGACGTGTTCATCTAAAATATCCTTTCCAAGGTATTAATCCACTTCTTCAGTATGGTATATATATTCTTCGCTTTGCTGTATTTTTCTTCCATACTGTTAGATTTGTGTGACCTCACAACTTTGTATATGTTCACACATGTGGTCCCTTGCTCATGCTCCCTTGTCGCCAGTGTGCCACATTTAATACTAAACAACATTTGAAATGTTGTCAACATGAAAACACAGATATCTGCCAAAATAAATATTCACCGCCAATAAGTGATTGATATATTTAAATTTACTTGAAGTGAGCACTTTCTATTAAAGTCAGATAAGCTATCCCTAGACAGTGGAAAAAACATATCTTCAGTTGATCTGTCTTTGATTATCCAGGGCGAGACTACTATGAATGGATTGTTAAACCATGCTTGTCATAAGCACTATTTTCTGCGGACATACTTCCTGGATTGTTGCACTATCTGAGATAAATTTGACAAAATGGGCCCACATTTCTGTACATTTGAAAACCTACAGGTTTGTTGGTGACTGACTTACTTGACTTATGCCTTTTCGCTCTTGGTAGAGTGTAGGCCACAGACTATCGACCACCATCTGACTCGGTTCTGGGTGTGTTGTACAATTGTGCTCCAGGAGTAACCAGCTTTTGTCATCTCCATGGTTGACCTTTGATATGAGTTTCTGGAACGTCCCCTCACTCGCTTGCCTTGTGGGTTACACTGTAGAGCTTCTCGGGTGATGTTTTTTGGATCTTTTCTTAAGGTGTGCCCAATCCATGTCCATTTTCTTTTGATGACTTGCACGGGAGGCGGTAGCTGTCCTGTGCTTTGCCAAAGTTCTTGGTTACTGATCTTCTCTGGCCACCAGATTCTGAGGATCTTGTGCAGTGTCTTGTTGATGAGCTTGTTGTTTATTTGTTGCATAACAGATTTTTTTAAATGCTAAAAATAGTGCTTTGTTATCCATCATAGGAGATCCCGGCTCTTAATCTCCAGTGTTTTTTGCCCATAAGAAGGTCACTAGATAAGACACACATCTGCTGCTCAACCCTCATCCCAAACCCGATGTTTACAGTCCTTCACCCTTTGCTTCTCTTGGAAGGTCCTTGAGGCCTGAGGGGTTACCATCCCAAACTGCTGCTGTCACCAAGCTTCATCGCTCATCCACTTGTAGGGCGGTGGGGTAGCCTAGTGGTTGAAGCGTTGGCTCGTCACGCCGAAGACCCGGGTTCGAATCCCCACATGGGCACAATGTGTTAAGCCCATTTCTGGTGTCCCCCGCCGTGATATTGCTGGAATATTGCTAAAAGCGGCGAAAACTAAACTCAGTCAGTCAGTCAGTCATCCACTTGCATATTATATGGTGCTCCTTCACACCTTTGTGCATCTCATAACATAAGTCTGCATCCTTTGAGAACCTCACAATCAAGACTTGCTTTCTTTGGCTCTTGCCATGGCGGTCATTGTCAGTGAACTTCATGCTTTGTATGTTTATAGGATCAGTTTTGACCAGCGCTCCCACAGACATATGCATCTTTGCCCATCATGGGACTTTATTGTCAAGAACCAACTCCCTGGTACTCGGGCATGGACTTCAATCTGTTTTTCTACTCTCTCTCCTTTCCAGGACTGTCTGATAGGTTGAAGGGACACTGATCCAGAGCGATTAATGTTTCGTGCCAACAATCTAATCACGTTGTCTTGGTACCATATGTTCCTGCCCTGCTCCCTTGACCGTGAAGGACACTGGGACTGGGCAGCTGTCCACCTTGGTAGAATTCTTCGACCTAAACAATGAGACAATAAGAACGATGAGTGCCCATCAGATGCTGTTATTTACAAATATCCCTGGTAGTTCTAGTCTAATTGTAATAAAGTATCACAGCAATGTAAGCGTTTACAGATTTTCTGAAGGGTGGATAGTATGATGACTAATCCAGTTTGACCTGATTTCTGTGTTATTTACCTCAATATTCAATCATATCAAGTAACAATGTGATGTCTATTGACCTATGATATTAAAAACACACATTTGATTTATTTGAATCCGTAAACTAAATCAACCACACTTTGCCATTGCTAGAAAAATCTGAAAGTTTACTTAGGTAAATAAGTATATACAGTTTTTAACTTTAGGACACAGCAAACGCTTATTGTATTTCTTTAAAGGCCACATGCAACCAAAAAATCAAACATAATTAAAACACAATTATCACTTATTCATGACATATAATATACATTGCTGGTTATGAAAAAACATATAAACAAAATTATAAGCGTACAATCGCAAATCAAAAGTGCAATATTGAGTACTTCGGTTTACTTCCCAAGAAACGAAGCAGCCGGGATACCGGACCCAGTCAGAGCGGGTTGGTGTGCACTCAAGTGTAACGGCTGGTTCATTTGCAGATGCCCTCACGGTTCATTGTGTGTGTATATATAGAGATGTTGGATTTTGTAAATACATGCTCATTTTTTTGTGTATAACATTTTGCAATCAACAGACATCATAACATGTCATGTGTTCAAGTATCACACCTGCCTGTCTGTGTAATTACATAATGTGACAGAGACCGAACTCGGGCCATAAATCAATGCATTTTGTTTATGGTGTAGCCTGATTGGTGTTAAGTTCAAATTGCATGTGGTCAGTGATAGCAGCTGTGTATTGAATATTGTCATTAGCAGACAGGCGGGCAGACACACAGGTGTCAATAAAACAAGACATTGAGTTTTGCCTGTGACAACGACATATCTATATCACAGTTAGAAATTCTGTCAACGCTAAATAGTGACATTGCTTTTAAGTATCGAACTGAGAAAGTGACTCGGTAAGAAGAACGTGTGGTGAAATAGACAAATGAAATTATATAAACAGTTAATTTACTGTCATAACTTATAAAAAGCTCGCGCCTGTGAGATATCAACAAAACATTAGAAAAATAGCTCACACCAAAGCCTTCACCGAGTATTCACCGGACAACCCGCTTCCAAGCTGCGCGAACCTATTTCACTGTGCAAGTGCTATGAGCGCAGCCCAGCTGTTGAAACCCGTTTTCCCCCGAAAAGTCGGGGGAAAATTAGTGAAACGTTGGAACTCCGATTTCGCGCGGTTTTTTTCATCGCGTTATTTTTCAACTTTAAACGTTGAATTTGCATTTTTGACGATTTGTTTCGGTAAGTCCATACCGAAAGGTATCAGAATCTGCAAAGTTGTGTTTTACGTTGCATGTGACCTTTAAGCTACCATGGAGTTCCGTTCATATTGTCAAAAGAGTGTCGACCTTTAAGTTTTTAGGCAGTTAAAATTGCATGCAATAGATTGGCTACTACTCACTGTTGTAACCCATGTTTGATGGTATAAATCTACACCTGTTTATTTGCCATCATTTACTTGATGAATTTATGACAGGTATGATTAGTGGTAACACCGCTAAGATTACCCTACAAAGGTACCCATTTAGCATTTCTTGTGTCTGGAGTAAATAGTTAACATTATAAATTAAGGTCTGATGTGGCAAATGTATTACATGTTATGTGATATGCGCATGGACGTTCAGCAAGAGGAATTATCAGCTGAGTTAAAACATACTAACATCTATCAAAGGTTTAACCAATAACAAACTGAATGATGATTTACTTTTATCTAGCACAGTGGATTTGTCAAATGGTAGTGTTTATGTATGTAGATTTACTAACCTTGAACAAGGTAGTAGCCTAATATTATTGCTGTAACTTAAGTCGGTTATAAATGTAACATTTGTATTTTGGTTTTATTCATTTGTTGTATCGGTCAACAGAATCATTCCGCTTCATTATTTTTGCCGTGATGTTCGATGAGACAGACAACATACATGAGGTTGCACTTAGGGTGTGTGTGTGAAATATGATTTATGTTGGCAGTCTCTTAAATGTCTAGATATTAGAGTCATTTTATATATTCACTAAAAACAGATAATGTACTTTTTATGTAGTTCCAAAATGCATACAGATATATAATAATAAGTTCATTAGGATTATAAGACCAAAATATCTAGACGTACATGGACTTTGGGTGTTTTTCAGTTCTAACAGGTTTTAACTCTGACAGATGAAGTTAAACTTAAAAAATGTTTTGTTATCATAATAATGAAGATGGAAACTTTTTCCTTATCCTGACTCATACGTTATTGCTTCATCTCCAGTGGAAACCTCTATCCTACTGTTCCTTAATGAACAGTCTAAAAATAGCTCAACCCAAATGGGCCTCTCCGGTTCCCGCACCAACGTCCCTCATGATCACTGGCATTGTGTCACTCTCTCCATTTTTGCCGTACCGGACGGTTGGGTGGATTCCTATGGTCCTTATACAAGCTGCCGCTCTTATATTTCGGCCTGTATATCTAAATTACTGCTTGTGTATGTATCTTATATCCTTTTGACATCATATTCATTGGTTAT